TTTCGGACACGCGCAGTAATAGACACCAGCTTATATTTTCGGACAGAGGAAGTACTATTAATTTTACATACACAAACGTCTTCAGCCAACATTTGTTAGCCAATGCAGCTTTGCGTTCTTTGCGCGACTAATAAAGCATTCGATCCTTGCTCCTCTATTGGCATACTTTGGATTCCGCCATCATCTAGCCACGCGTCGCCCATCTTGGCGAGAGATAGCTCTAGCTTGCTCGCAAAAATTGTGATTTTACTTCGTCCAAATCACATCCTTCACAATCTCACGAGGAACGAGTAAGTGTGATCCAGGATGACTCTTTAATCGTTGGTTTATTGCCGAACAATCATACTGCGTCACGCCAATATCAGCTTTCGTTCTTCGGTTCTTCCCATCTTCAATTCTGTAGAAATGAACAGCGGAACTGTCGTAGATCTCAATCGAGACGATAAAGAGAAGGATGTGTCAATAGCCTTGAAACTCATGACGCTGCGTCAAAATATGGTGGACATTTTTCAGCTGTTGATATCTGATGGGATAAGCTCACTGTCGACTGAACCTAGATAATACGACCATCTTGTGAAACGACAATCACACCATCAATTCCTGGAAAATTCTTTAATAGCGGTATGTATGGCACCAATTTATTTTAAATTTCAGATGATGCTTGAAAACTGCATTCACTGGACCACGTCGCATGTGTCCTGATAACGCTTCCTGCGCTCTCATACAAAATGTGCTTGTAGCAAGATTTTGCAACAGAAATACTCGGTTTCTTTACCTCACCACGACGGCAAATTTGGGGCTGGTGTCTGCAACATTGCGCGACATCTATCGGTGGATTGATAACGAGCTTTCATGATCGCCTCGACTGCCAAGGATGATTATGCGACTGGACGGGTTCTCACGATAAACATTGACTACATTATGCTTCATATTTCTATCAAAAGATTTCTGCTCGAATTGCCGTACGTGGTTCTTTAACTCATTAGCATCGCTCGGGTTTGCCTCCAACGAGATTAAACCTTATTAATACTCGTCTTGATCATTCAAGCGACTCGCATTGGCAAATATCCTGCACTCAGCCTTGACCCATCATTCATACATACCTCAAAGCAATTCGTCTTGACAAATTCGTCGTAATTTTGAGTTCGCGGACTGGCGAACAGAAACGCACGGTCGAATTTATATAACCGTATGCTTCAGCGGCTTCATTTCCGTAAAAAAATCCATCCTAGGACCTTCCAGCATGCGACATAAGCGAGCTCCTATAACAATCAGTGCATAAAAGTGAAATAGACTAATGATCCATGAAGCTGGCGGTAGGCCACATCCTTATGCTTCCTGATCAGCAGAAAAAACACACTAACTTTTCAATCCTGTGGTGCAGTGGTATGCTGTTCACTTCAGAATCGGGAGGACCAGGGTTCAATTCCCGGGCTGGGTAGAGCGGGGTTAGAGTGTAATGAATAAAACCCTACAGCACGTACTTGACATGGCTTACAAGACTCCTAAAAAGGGTGTCGTTCTTAAATATATACCTTTTCAATCCCAGGATTGCCAGTCACATGAATTCTACAGAGCAATGAAAATGTCCATAATACTTGCTAGATGATATCATTAGAATCCCAATACTCCTGTCGGATGTACAAGCATTGCAAATGAAGTTTCCAACAATTTTTCTATCTTGCGTTGTTAAGTTTCACAAATGCCTTCAAATCTTCCATTTCTTCGGAATTGATGGCATCTATTCGATCGGAAACACAAGTGATACGAGAATTTTCCCTTCGTTTGTCTCAAACAATCTCCAAAGTCGATCCATTCAACTTCCAATTACACTGATTTCAGCAGTGTGAAATTGAGCTTGGCATTCATCAAACGCTGGAAGTGAACTATTCTTCAGTCTGGTATATTAAAGCTCTTCTGTGCGTTGGATGGAGAACTAGGGATCGCGTATTCATCCTTTTAAAGCGGACCATATTTAGCTGCATGGAATAAAACGAGTTACTGCCTGAACGCAGCATTTCTGAAAAAATTGAGTATCATTGCCGTGGCGGTCAGAAAATAAAATTCGGTACCAGGCACGCCCTGAGACCCTTCAGTCTTTTTGATATATTGGTCTTGTTTCATACAAAAATCAAGAAATCTTCAAACATTATTGAGTTGTTGATGTGATTAGAGCTATAAAATTGAATGAGAAAACTGAAAAGCATCAGTATCGAGACCACATTAGATTACTGATCCTATCAGAAAAGAAGACACACCAATTTTAACTCTTCTTGCGGATTTACCAAGTCCTAGAAAAATGCCAGTATCCTATTGACCACATTAATTGTGTCAGATCTTCAACAAAAATTAAGCTTTACATACAGGAAGACAAATGGAACTGTGTGTCAATACGCGAAAGCCACAAACAATGCTAGAGAACACACCGGTTGCAGAGGATTATCTAACACTATACCAGTCATGCATTCAGCGCTAGTTTTAATGGGCAAGATTATATTTACAGCTTACTGTGTTGTGTGCTGGTAATGTCAAAATTAGCAGCGCAATCAAAACCGCGATATTCTGGAGAAAGTGAGTTCGCTCGTACCAAAGTCGGTGTTTGAAGGAATTTTTTGCTGCATCGACCCATCAAAGAAAAGGAAGATTTTGTTAGGCTTTCGGCAAACAGAAATGAATATGGTGAAGCTCTAGGGAGCATACTTGTAGCGGTTCAGGAAGCGATGCAGCAATCAAAAAATAATATACTTTAAGCTGACGTATGGATGTTTTAGAGCTGATAGTGTGGGCTCAACATGTCAAAGAGGAAAAGGTACCTGTCGTGAAAAGGTTTGCGAACTTATATCTTGATATTGTAGCCACGACAAATTGTTCTAAGCTGCATTCTTATCATATGGCTCTGAGCAAACTATTAAGTTCTCGGTCTAATTTCGAGATTTGGTGTGGGGAATATGTTGGTTTAGCACTAAATCGCCGGCATCATGCTTTACATAGCACGCATTGTACAAACTTACATTCAAAATGAGCTTGAAAATGTTACAACCTTTGTGATTATATTATAAATCGCACTCACGACAAATCTTCGTCATCGATGGTAAGCATTGTCTCTGGATCTTCAGTACATGCGCTCATGGACCAGTTCACATCGTCGTCGGGCATATGGTATAAACACTTACTTACCAGAAACTCCTGCCGATACTTTTGTGCGACAACATCTTCAGGAACGTCGTCAATGTAAACCTCCAGGAAATATTTAAATAGAAACATGCTGCCAATGAAAATTGAAAACATCCATACGCGTGTAGCTTCCTCGAGATGATTAAAATAATCCCCGGTAAAAATGACAACAGCACCATTAGTGCAAACCGAGATAGCCGCAAATGCCTGCACGACCAAATACCAATATCCCATGCTGCGAACGTTGCGTGGACGAGGACGACGTGACTCATAAATTAAACGGTAAGCGTCGAGTCGAATTTCAAAATAGTTGTTTACATATGAAAGCAGAGGTGCGAAAGGGAAAGCCACCACAAACATTGTCGTAAAGCCAAATTGAAGTGCCATCTCAGTGTAGTCATCGAAAGTACCTTGCCAGTCATATTGCGCCATAAAAAGCTCGCGTTCAGCATCGGATTTATTATATTCATCTAGATGACCCAATAAGCGATATTTGCTCAGGTACACAAAAAAGCGCGGGATCGCCACTTCAGTGATGTTGCCTACAAAGAGTCGAGAGCAAAAGACAATTGCAAGCATGTACTCGAGCTCGTGCATGCAACTCACGTCACAGCCTTCAAAGCCTTCCTTCAAAAATGCCACGTAAAACAAACCTGCATAGTTGTTGACAAATTGGAATATCACAGTCTTAACGATGAGACTATTTTCATATTCCATATCCGTACGGTGATTTTCTTGGTCCACAAGCATGATAGACACGTAGTTGTAAATTTTTGTCATAATAGTGATCTGAACAACATTTGCTAATGAAGACAGAATTGAGCCGTACTTGAAGTTGTCTAGCACAAGCTTGTTTGAATCGTCACCTTTTGTGAGATCGTATGTCAGCATGAAAATTGATGATACGAGCACAAACACAATCAGTATCAGAAACGAAATGACGACCCAACTGTAAGCCACTCTCTTAAACTTTTCACGTGGTGAAAAATATCGCGTGGACTTGCCGTTAATAGGCGATGGGATGCGTTCACCGTAAAACTGTGGACGAAGATTCACTGTCTCTGAAAAATGAGCAGTGCCCCATCGCAGTGTCTCGCGCGAGCTTAGCCGCTTCCAGTTTTCGAGATAAACGGTCATCCAGATCGTCATAAAAGCTCCAAACAGGGGCGAAACGTAAGCGAACACAGTATTGTAGTTGTCGTGAGGAATGGAGTAGCTGACTACCCCTGTCAAAATTCCTACGATCGTTGGGTAGAGAAGCCACTTAGTATAGTGTCCCAAATACAAGAAGTAGAGTGCCACCTTAACGCCAAAATATTGGCAGATGCGATCAAATGGCTGGTTCATGGGAGACGTGTTCCATACAATCCAGTGTTCCTTCAAGTCCATCTTCTCCTCTTCCTCATGCAATGGATAGGTATCCACAATAATACCTTCGTACATTAGCCGATCAATATCTTGGCCAGCTCCTGTCTGATGATTGGTGATGATGTGCTCGATGAGTCTAATGCGGTCTGTGTTGGAGAAAAGCGAGCCATTGGGGCCTTTTCGAGTGTAAAAATGCTGCAAGTCTCGAGCTTGAAAGTATGGCGCGAAGATGTAGTCAAACGGGGAGTATCGGTACGTTTGCTTCACATCTCGAATTGGAAAGGGAGCAATACCGTACTCTGGTATGCCATTAAACGACGCGTGACGCAGCTCTGTTGGGTCCAGCTGAAGATGCATTTGAAGAGTCTCAGCCTCACGTCGCATAAGTTCTTCGGGCGCACGAATTTTGCAGAACACGAGCTCCTTGCCGACAGAATAAAAGAGCCGTAATTGCAGCCCGGCATTGCGCAGTCGCTTAATGATGGTGTCACGCTCATCGCTTACCTCGATTACACGTTTGGGAGGATTAGGAAACACGATGACGTAGTCCCAGCGGCCGCTGAGATCGGATTGGGAAGTACCATAGTCCAGTGGCGCACGTATGCGCAGCTGGGCTGTCTGTGGCTGGGGATAAGGATCGGTCATACTGACAACCTTAGAATATGTAGTGTTGTGACCTGGACACTAGTAGGATTTAACCCAAGTCAATTGCTGGAGCATTACCCAAGTAAATCTGAGGTATTTTTTTCGGTTGACCCAGGCTGGACAACCTATTGACCCAAGTCAGCCAAAAGTTGACCCAAGTCAGCCAAAAGTTGACCCAAGTCACAATAAATAACTTCATAAATCTGATAAAAAACTGAGAGAAATCCAAAAAGTACTGGTACTTGAAGTTATATAGGTAATCAATATGTAATTAAGATGGAACAGATATCTGAAGGATCAATCGACTTTGCAGGCGGCTCCGACGATGCGCCGCTCTAGGTCTCAGAGATGTGCTTTGTACAAAATTTATTACTGTCCAAGTTTATGTTAAAGCTTTGGACTTCTATTTTGTAGCCATTTTTTACCTCATGCCACTGTTCGCAGCCCCAGGTAATTAAGAAAAATGTTCAGAAGTGTGTTAACGTTACTGACAGCTCGACTATCTCCACAGTAGCGAACGTGAGAGTGTAATGGGGAACTCTCAGACGCAAGAATCAAACAAATACGCTTCCGGTAGTGATGAGGAGAAGTGCAGCGTCTCACCGGAAAGGTCCAAAGGCGAGTCAGTTGTTTTGGCACCAACGACTGCACTGTGCCGCTTTTTCGTGCTGGGCAAATGTCGCTACGGTAGCCATTGCACGTTCTCACACGCATTGCCTTCACCGGCTAGCGAGTGTACCGAGGACGAGACAGAGATTTTATCGGCGGCGGCAGCACTGGTGGAGTGCCCTTTCTTCTTGCGCGGCAATTGCAAATATGGCGATTACTGCCGCTTAAACCATAACTCGTTTATAATACAAGGTGCAGAATCTGAATCTATGAATCGTTTCGCTCTCAAGGCAGGTAAGGAAGGGAGCTCAGCACATTTAAACAGCGTTGCTGCTGTTTGTGCAGACAATACGACTCGTGGCGGTAATCAAAGAGACTTTACTTGTGGTATCTGTTTTGATGACATCGTTCAGTCTGGCAAGCATTTTGGTCTATTAAGTAAGGTTTGGTTTTCAACTATAGTAACAATAATGTTGACAAATACTTGATTTGATGGTTATAGATTGCGATCACTGCTTCTGCCTGGAATGCCTTCGTTCTTGGCGTCAGTCAAAAAATATGGAGCTGGAGGTTATTCGTGCATGTCCAGCGTGTCGTCTTCCAAGTGATTTTATTGTGCCATCACTCATCTTTGTTACTGGCGAGAAAAAGCTCAAGGTTACAAAGGTATACAAGAGCCACCTTGCTCTACGTGAGTGCAAGTATTTTACTGGCTCATTTGGTAGCTGTCCATTTGGTCCGCGATGCTTTTACGCACATCGTGACACTGAAGGTCGCGATGTGAAGCATTTGGATCGCCCCAAACGATCAACAAAGTCAAGACATGTTCGACATGACCGTGAAGGTGAAGATGCTGCGTTTCAATCGCTATTACAACAATACATCCACCTCTTTCGCTTCTTTGGAGTTGCAGACTCGGACGATATTGATTTGGCAGGTGGGTTATTTCACTCGGATGACTCAGATGACGACAGTTTTGAGCTCGACTTTCTCGACAGCGCTAGCGACACAGAATGAGCTTACGGCTCCTTACTGGTGTAAATCAATGTGCGAGATCACAAAACACGAGTAGTATTCAGGTTAAAGCTACGGCAGCTACGGTTTAGCAGAATTAATGTTTTTATTGGCATCCTAAAGTCTTTAGCAAGGGCAAAAGTATCAAAAACATTCGTGTCGGCGCTCTCGCTCGCATTTTTTAAAGTATCTGAAATCTTGCTCGCCAGAGTAACCCATAAATTAATAAGCATTTGATCAATGAATAGTCATATCAGAGCAAATATTGTATACAGGTGTAATGGATACGTCTTCCCATGTAGTTTCATTTTTGTTGGGGATGCTTGCGATGTCGTGCCTTTTTACACGATCATTCTCAAACAAGTAGCACTGTATAAAGGTACTAAAGGTGATTCATAGTGCAATACATCACGCATGCTACAGCTTCAGCAGCTTTGCATAGCACAATTGGCATGTCAAGATACAATTTCTGGTTGTCCCACAATGGTGGCATCAAATTCATAATGCGCAGGAAGAAATTTCGTATTGGGATGATACCTTTTTTTAATTGACACCTATGGATGCATAAACCATATGAATTGGGTGTTTCAGAAGAATGAAGAAGCCTTAGAACAGGTATAAATAAATAGTCAGCGACAAGATAGCAGCTGTGATCTGCTAACTGAATGTTAACAAATACTTCAAAAAATGTCATTTGACATTCCTAATTCTTCTGTTGAATCGAGCATGGTTGGAAATGGAAAGAGCGAGGCTACGTCGGAATTTCAGTTCATGCCATCACCGCCACCAGCACCTTCAGCACTACCAGGTAGACGCATACCGATCAACGAAGTTGAACGTAAAGACCCAACAGAAGAGTTTGATGACACTCCGATTCATATTGCTGAAGCTGGCGCAATTCGACCTGCCAGGAGCGGGTCGCAACGATTTATTCGGAGGTACCGCATACTCGAATTTGGAAGCGCTGCTATCTTGTACCTCCTTGGTTTGGTTTTCGCGCGAATTGAAGTGCACGAGCGTCCAATTCCTTCGATCAAAGTACGCTTGAATGCAGCGGCTGTAGTGTGGTCACTTGACCCATCTATTGACGAAATTAAACTGCCAGAAGAAGGTAAGTTAGTTGGAAGCAATTGCAGTGGACGAGATAGATTACTTAATTTGCTTTCTGTCCGCCAGTCCCGATGTGGCTTCTGTTATCACTTGGAATTGGTCTTCCAATCGGATCTAATCTTATCATGAATTACGTGCTACCTAGAATTTGCCAAGTGCGAATTATTCCCCATGATACGCGAGATTTCTTGCTGAGTTTGTTTCAATCAACAGCACTCGCCACCTTTTTGACGCAATTTACTAAAAACATTACTGGACGCTTCAGACCAAGTTTCTACGACATGTGCAAATGGAATTATGATATTATCTGGGATGGAGTCACAGATTTGTGTACGGATGCTGCTGGCGACAAAGAAGGTCGAAAAAGCTTTCCATCGGGTCATGCGTCTTTTGCGTGGTCATCAATGCTTGTTCTGGCGGTAAGAATTTGCGCTGCGTTATTGTTGACATTACGTCTCATATATGCATATCGCTTGTGTAATTTCTAGCTCTACCTTTTGGGTCGATCTCGTCTTAACAGTGCGAATCGCAGTAACTCTACACTGCGAGGTGCCAAATCGTCTTTTATGCTATTCGTGTGCTGCTCCCCTATCTTACTCGCCGCTTGGATTTCTATCACTCGCTGCATTGACAACTGGCATCATTACAGTGATATTCTGGCTGGTTCGGTCATTGGATCAGTGGCTGCAATCTTCGCGTTTAGCTACAATTATGGGTCAATTTTTAGTCATGATTTGGCTGGGTTGCCCCTCGAGGAGATTCATGAGCGCCGCATGGTACGAAGAGAGCAAGACACAACCATAAACATATAGAGCGACAGTTTCCACGCTAACCAAATTTATGTATCGTTGCTTACATATTAGATCAAGGCCAAAAAGGCCAGAAATGAGCAACTTGACATGTCGCCAATGCTTGGCTACGCCTTTGAATCCAGGCCACCGTTTTTTAAGCAAGTGTCAAGTGACTACATCGTCGACCTCAGTAATCGCAGCCAAGAGTCATCTCTTCAGTATCAATCTTAATGTAGAAAATACGTTACTGCATGCATTTTGAGTATGTTCTTGCATTGGAAGCTGTCAACATTAACGTCAGATTCATATCTGCACGATACGTTTTCAATATTAAACATCGGGCTCAATCGCCTATTGCCTGCATACACTCTGGCGTTGCTTAGGACCGTCCTGGCTCCCAACCTCGTCACATGCATCCTGTCGAGGATAGGTTTGTAACGATAGCATCTAGTTGCGACTCATGCAGGTCGTTGATGGATTGGCATTGTTGTTTCAGCTACCGTTTACTTGACCAAAATTCCATTGCTACTTATTTTTAACTCATAGTTTGAAAAGATTCAATTTACGACTATCCAAGTTCAATCCCTAGCAAGATAATAGAAGTGAATGCTGCTCGCAAGGGGCTGAACGCAAAGGGGCTGAACGCAAAGGGGCTGAACGCAAAGGGGCTGATTTCTCTGCAAGTGGTTTAGTATGTGCCGTAGAAAATCTATGTAGGCTCAAAGGTCCAAACATCTATGAATGAAGATCAAAAGAACAATACGCTTATCTTTATTGGAGGTTGTTTGAATGGGATACCTACCGATTCATAACATGAATGAGTTACAGCTGACACTTATTCACGCCGGGCGTGTAACTGAACACCCTGAATTCTGATAAAGATCATAAAATGATGCAGGTTGAATTGAGAGATTTAAGCTACCGGAACCCAAACGTTGGAATTAAGCTTTCTCTAGCGCAGGGATGCTGGTAGCTGTCCGACCCATTTTAGGCCGAGTTCCGCACCCCCCATTACACTATGGGGCGTTTTCGGTCAGTAGGGCCTCCTACCACCCAACTATCATACACCCAACTGGGTGCGAGTTGACAGGGCCGTCAAACCACAGGGGTGTGATTGCTCGTCTACCTTAGTAACCTATCTCCGGTGTCATCCTATGGGTATCGAGGGGATAACCCCCCTATCATAATCGACGAACCAGGTACCTCCCGGTCCCAGGCCATGCTACAAACCACTTGAGCCAGAGATCGGTATGCAGGATTATTTGAGGCTGGGCAACCATTTACCGGTAGATACTGATATGGACATGCGTGTGTACGATATTGCACAATTACACGAGTAACGCAGGCAAAGATATTATTTGGATAGTGCGCAAGGATGGGCGCCGACGTGATACTCGCTTAAATGGTAAGTAACTCGGGAATACAGGTAGTGGATCGTAACATTTTGGAAGATTCAGCAGGCTTAGAGGCAGCACACGAACTAAGGACTCAAAAATCAGTGCTCATGTACGTTTTCTTTAGGTTATGTGCCCGAGCTCCACTACTTCTGCCATCGACTACGACTCTGCTTTCATAATGAAA